TACTGGGGCACCTGGGTGGCTCAGTTGGTTAAGTCTGACTTCAGCTCAGGTCACGATCTCACAGTTCGTGAGTTCGAGCCCCACATCAGGTTCTGTGCTAACAGCTTGGAACCTGGAGCCTGCCTCAGGTTCTGGGTCTCACTCTCTGTCTCTACAACCATCCCCCAGCTTGCTCTCTGTCTCTCTCTCAAACAATTAATTCATTTTTTCATTTAAAAAAAAAGAAATCAAAACAATTACAAAGACATTGAAGAGAAGCAAGAAAAAAAAAAGAAAGAGAAGAGAATTAACAAACCTTCATGTTAGACAAACTGCAAATGTTCATCATAAATGATTCTAGGGTTTGGCGACAGTTATGCTAATGCAAATGTTCAGGATTACAACGTGTTGAGAAAGTGCAGGTTTAATTAACAAGTAATTAAATACCTTAAAATTGAAACGAATCAACATATTTTGGCAGAAACTTCTAAGGTGTTATTAAATTGCAGCTACAACTTAATGTGACACTTTACAGAGAACTTGCTCTCATACTTTGTCAGTACAAAAGGCTTTACTAGGTAGAACGTAGTCTCTCATTTGGCTGCATGAGAAACTCAAGTTAAAGAAAAAAATTGCATCCAAAGACACAGAGAATAACCCAAAATCTAATTACAAAATCCAGTTGTAGACATTAAATAAGATTTCATACTATTTGAAGGTTATTAAAGAAAAATGTGTTTGCTTAATGGTTCTCCTAAGAATAAAAACAGAGATCATTGACCTGAAAGGAGGAAACCTTACAAGGACACTTCAGAATTTCATGTGGCACAAACCACACCCATGAAGTAAATGAGTTTTCCCTTTGTTTTTCTCCCTTCCTCTCAAAGCTCTGCTCCATGGCCTGTGGTGACGGGGTCTTCTCATGGCCCTTTCCGCAGTAGCTTCCTCACTGACACACACATCTTGTCTTCTGGTTTCTCTTTCCTGACCTGAATGTTCCAGGTTATGGTTCGTTAGCGGGAGTCCTGCTCCCCTATTGTGTATGCAAACATAGAGCATGCCCTGATTTTGTGGCCCTGATTTTATAATGATGGAGATTTCATGCCAGTGGCAAAAGGAGTGGTTATTTCATATCACATCACAGACCGGAGAGACAATGCAGTTCCCTCTTGCATCAGCTGTAAGAAAGCTCAAAGCCATATGCTGACTGCCACATTCAAATAAACATACCTTACGATTCAAATTTTGTGTTCTAAATACATCCTTCATTTTATCTTATGTTTAAGTAGCTTTTTTCTCTTTAACCTTTATTGCATCATTTTATCTTAATGTATATATTTTGATACATAGAATTAAATTCTTCTTGGAACAAGGCCAATTGTATCTTTCTGTTCATATGCACGTATGCTAGCACAAACACATCTATTCACATACATATTCATACATATACACATATTCATACACATATTACAGACTTATAAATGGATCCTTATAAATATAAGAATCTATTCAACCAACCATTAAGAAAGACTATTTCAGGGCACCCGGCTGGCTCAGTGGTTAAGCATCTGACTTCGGCTCAGATCATGGACTCATGGCTCACATGTTTGAGCTCTGCGTCGGGCTCTGTGCTGACAGCTCAGAGCCTGGAGCCTGCTTCGGATTCTGTGTCTCCCTCTCTCTCTCTCTCCCTCCCCCCTCTCATGCTCTGTCTGTCTCTCTCTCTCTCTCAAAAATAAATAAACATTAAAAAAATATATATATGTATATATATATATGTGTGTGTATATATATATATATATATAAAGAAAGACTGTTTCCAGGGGCACCTGGGTGGCTCAGTCAGTTGAGCAGCAACGTCGTTTCTGCTCAGGTCATGATCTCATGGTTCGTGGGTTCGAGCCCTGCGTGGAACTTCATGCTCACAGCATGGAGCCTGCTTGGAATTCTCTCTCTCTGCAACTCCTGTGCCTGCTTGCTGTCTCTCTCAAAATAAAGAAAGAAACATTAAAAAGAAAAGAAAAAAGAAAAGAAAGACTATTTCCATGTGTAGACCCTTACTATCTAGTCCACTGGTAGCTTCTCATCTTCCTCCTATTTGTGGAAAATGCCCGCTGTTCTTGGATTGCCTGTGTCTTCCGCGGCATGAAGTGGATAATTCAGGAAGCAGAACACTCTCTCTGCTGGTGTAGAGCCAGCCAACTAGTGCTAAATGACATAATCTTGGAATCACTTAAAGGCAACAATGATCTCACAGTTCCCTCTTTCTGTCACAGAAGAGTTAGCTTCATTTTTTGGCCAAAATCAGTGTCAAGTTGCTTGCTGCCGTTGCCAAAACAAATTTCGTATGCGTTTTTGTTGTACGCATTCCTTTTTCCTTCTCATTTTAGTTTTGTTGTCGAAAGTCCTCTTCTCCATAGCTGTAACTGTAATAACAGCAGTAAGGGAGTGAGCCCTCAGTTTAGACTGTTTAAAGAATATTGAGTTCTGTTTCATTTTAAATTGTTTAATGTTTATTTATTTTTGGGAGACAGAGAGACAGAGTGCAAGCAGAGGAGGGGCAGAGAGAGGGGGAGACACAGAATCTGAAGCAGGCTCCAGGCTGAGCTGTCAGCATCTAGAGCCTGGTGCGGATCTTGAACCCATGAAACGTGGGATCATGACCTGGGCTGAACTCGGACCCTTAACTGACTGAGCCACCAGGCACCCCTGAAATCCGTTTTATTTAGATGCATCATGTCAAGTACATATATTACCAAAAGTTTCAACGTATTTAATTCTTACCAGTAGAATGATGCTGTCTGGTTAGAGGGAGAAGAGAATGTCAGATTAGGAATGAGAAGTCCTGGGTCCGATGCTCAAGTCTCCTGGATACCAGCAATGACCTTGGGCAAGACAAATGATGCCTGCTGCAACCCATTTATAAGATTTTGTGAAAATGTGATAAAATTGTTTGTAAAACCACTCTGAAAATGCAAAGAGCTAGTCAAATCTAATATATCGTTATTCCTTAAGATTTTTCCTGAAGAGTGTTGATTTTTGTCAGTGGGTACATTTTACTTTACTTCTGTTGGTCTTAACTGACACATGAATATATTTAAGAATTTGAAATCTATTTTATGGTTTTACAGTGTCAGAAACCCTGTCAAGCACCTTTGACATGACTTTTGGTAAACTAATTTAGAATTTTAAAAAATAGTTGGCATGATTTTCTTTCAATCACTGTAGTCCCACATGAGTGGGAAACCTAGGGCTTCTCGTTAGAGTCACTTTGTCCCTAGATGATGAGACAGTTATGGAATGCCAATTTTAAAATAAGACATACATGTGTTCTAGAGATTTGTCAAAATCCAGTCCTCCCTTTTCTGTCTGAAAACAATAGCAAATCACGAGGTGAGGAAGGGAAAAAAAATCTGTTTCTTTCCATTTTTACATGTGCCTGTTTTCTTTAATGCAGTCACTCGCCTGCCAAGAAAATCACTCATGGTGAGGTCCTTTTAGGTCACGGGTGACAAGTGCCAGGCTGCTCTCTAAAAGATGGCCCTCCTCTTACAGAACACAGGCTGGCTATGACTTGGTTCCACTCTTTTTGGCAGTCACCACAACTCCCTCATGTGGAGTGTTTTATCTGGGTAATATTTATAAACTCAAGGTACCCCAAACCAGGCGTTGCCCGCCCCCCTTGCCTCAACACATTCATTTTGACTCTCCACTGAGTTGAAATATTTTAAATGCTAGAACTACTCGGTTCTAATAGCTTCCTACTATAAAAAAAAAAAAAAATTAAATCTTTGCAGGACTGCTATGAGTTCAGCCAGAAGAATATTATTCAGAAGTAGTACCTGTGATCTGACCTGGACAAAAGTTAAGAAAGTATTCCAAAGTCATTCAAGTGTCAGGAACAGAACAAGATCGAGACTTGCACTGTTTAATTTGTTGTTCACTCCTTAATTCATTTAGCCATCAAGCAAGCCTCTACTGAATCGTCCTGTCATATATAATAGAAAAATAAATCTATTTAAGGAAAACATAATGGGAGAAAGATTAATTGGGGGCATTTTGTTTTAAAATGGCAGAGCAGCAGAAATCACAGAATTCAGAATGCTTCATGGGTCTTCAGAGAGTGATTGTGTCAATGTTGGGGTAAGGGTTCCTGCCTGAGAGATGTCTCTCACCAGGCAGAGAAGTATGCCGTAGTTGTACCTGCTGTTGAAGGCTAAAGCTGGCATGTAACTCTGTAATTACTGTGCTGGTTCCTAATTTGGTGTTCCATTCTGTTACTTCAGATCCAAACTGGAAATATGTACAAAAAGAGAGATAAACCTTGGAACATGCCAGAAGATGTAGAATGGCAAGGCTTTTTTGTTTTTGTTTTTTGGGTTTTTTTTTTTTTTGGATTGCTTGGTTTTATTGTAAATTTCAGCAGAATATGCATGCTTTATCTCTTCTGAAAACTTTTTGGAGGATTTCATCTGTGTAAACAGCAGACCTATGGGTCCACACAGGCAGCAGCTCGCACACATGCATGCACTCATGCACACACACACACACACACACACACCCATGGAACCAATGCTGAAAGTAGAAAACCACCATTATTTCCAAGATCCCATACTGAGTTTTCCAAAATCTCTAACAGATTTTTCTGGGCTGCTTCAAATTCAGAAGGATTTGGCTAGAAAGCATACGATGCCGTGTCTTGCCGGGCCTGGGGTAACCCTAAAAGGCAACTGTGTGGTGTCACTTGTTACTGATGATCACAGACCCACAACAGTCAAAAGTCAGTTAATAACATGCCACAAGGCTACTGCTCTCCACTGGGCTACATCCACATCTGCAGAAATAGTAATGTCATTTCATCCTCGGCTGGCCAGACCCTCATCTCCATCTGTGAGACGAGAAGACCAGCTTATACCCTTTTGTCACAGCAGTTCTGGAGAAAGAGAAATGAAAATATGCTGCTAATGACATTGTGTATGTGCTTCTTCCTTGTCTCTTGTTTCCCAACAACATCCACATAGCTTTAGCCCGACGTGCCATTTAGACCGAAGTCTCGGATTGATCTGTGACGCATGCCCTGTCGGGTACACAGGACCACGCTGTGAGAGGTAAGCCTGTACCACACTGTCTTTCAACATGATTTCTACCTTGGGAGCTATAAAACCAGAGGCATTATCATCCTTTGTACTAGTTCAGAAAAGCCGCCACACTTGGTGAGGTGAAATCAAGTTTCTCCCTGCATGTGTCAAACCAATGCATTTTGTTTTCATAGTTTATTTATTCTCTAGAAATTGCTCTATAAATCTCCATTCACTCAGAGAATGTTTGATTAATGTTTTAATCTTAAAGGGTAAGCATTAACCTACAGTCTTCCTAGAAAGTATTGCTCAAGTGGAAAGTCATGCACTTTAAGATTTATCTTACTGTCTATGGTGGTACCATTTATTTTTCATAATTAGATTTTTGTTCTTAAAATGTGGCTTAAATGTGTGGTTCATAGTTCAGCAAGTGGCCTATAATTTACCTTAAATATATTTGAAAATAGAAATAAAATGTGATTTATTATTGTGATTTATATCCTCCTCTAAGTACTTCTAAGCCAGTATTTTAATTCCTGGTGATTTTATCGGGTTGCTTTGCAGTGGAACCTATAGATAGCATTTTATGTAATTTGTGTGATTATTTTTCTCCTGAAACACTTGTGAAGGAAAGATTCTTCTGTATTTCAGTCTCATTATAAAAATGGTAGAAAATTCTCCCTTGACATCATTGACAAGTACACCAACATCTCTCTGGTTTTAGCACTGAAAATAGTCCCCTTTGCTGCCATCACTGGGGTGTGGGGACAGCAGAGGAAGTGACCTGCTTTCACCAAGGCGAACACCACAGAGGGCTATTTCCGCCTATCCTTTTCTGTCCTTTCGTCCCCCTATTTCAACCAGGCTGCATAAAGTTAATGAAGCAGGAGCCAATCACCCAGAGAGGATTTAGTCAACAGCTAGCAGTCTGAGGACAAAGTGCCCGTGACAGTTCCCAGCAGCAACAAGTACTATTTGTGAGCGTGGCAACATCTGTAAATTAGTAATGGAAGAATAGAACTGAAATAAGGATGATTTATTTGCAACTGAGAAACTGGAGACCTTTGTGTTAAGAAAAAAAAAAAAGGAGGGCACATGTATATTACTTACTATAATAGCAGAACGTATCATGGCCAAGACAGATTTACATCAAATGCCTAACCCCGCCTTGGGTCACTACAGGCAACCTTTTTTTTTTTTTTAGCAACTGGAAAATGACAGCTACTCTTTCATAAAATGCCATTAAATCCCACTTAACTAGGTGACCATAGTCTCTGATGTATTTGTATTACTTCGCTTCATGCTCTGTGTTTTCCATACATAGCAGACGATAATTTTTGAATCACCTACAATTTGAAATTCTACATTTTATTTAACAAACGTCAGTTCAGCAACTGCCATGTGCCAGACACGGGACTAGACATAGGATCTAAACAGATGCATTATACCACCCTCACCTTCAAGCAGCTCACATATTTCATGTGGATAAGAATGGTTGTATTCTGGAGACAGTTCTGATCTGAATCATAAAAACTACCAAGGAAGGAAATACCTCACAGTAAGCATGATTTTCTGGTTAAAAAGAAAATGGAAATGGGCATACGTAGCTTATCAAATGGCATATCTTATCTCCAAGTTTTTCAGCCAAAATAATGTTAAATTGTTATTATACGGAAGATGGAATATTATATTTTTCTAGCCAGAATTTGGGTTAGGGTTTTTCAGGAATATTTAGGGTTTCTCATTTCTCTGTATTTATATGAGCTTAAAAGTCCATTATTAGATGGATCCAAAATATTAGGAGAAACATTTTTGGGGATGTTCAGGCTGAAGTAGAAGGAGGGGAGAATAAGGGTCAGAGTAAAAAGGAGATACTGGTTGCATTGAAAATCTTGTAATCAAACCCATTCTGTAACTGATTGGTGTAATCAGTTTGTGCACATCATCTACATAAAATCAGCATTGGAGAACTGGAGCAGTGTTTCCCAAACCGTAGATGTTTTTGGAATAGAGTTCTGTGATCACACAAGTAAAAGTGCCTATTAGCATGTTAAAAGTTCTGACATGTCCTGGATGGAAGAAATCTGTTTAATGTGTTTAAATCAACCTTTTCTTTTCATTTCTTGAAGTGTATCTGATGAACATCTTTACATTAGTTTCACGTATACAACATAGTGATTCAACAAGTCTATATATTATGCTCTAACTCAGCATTTTCTAATGTTGTGTGCCCATAAATTCCTGATTTTTTAAATCTATAGTAAGAATGTATCTCAGGTGGACAGGAATTATAATTTTATATTCTTTATCTCAATTTAATTTCTATTTTGAGACCAAATCTCCATATGTGGGAGCTGTGAGAGCTTGGAAACATAATCTCAGTCACATAAACTTTAAATGTTCTCACTGTTATATACCAATTATTTCTCAATTGTAAAAATTTGTGTTTTTTCTCTTCTCCCCGTCTCCCAGGCTTGAACCAAAGTTCTAACAAGTTTACTTAGTACCAAGAAGCTTGAATGCTTGAGTGAATGAGTGTGGGTGTGGCTTGTGTGTGGGTGTCACTGTTTGGCTATGAGTTTGTATGTGTCTGTGTGTGTGTGTGTGTGTGTGTGTGTGTGTGTGTGTGTGCATGTGTTTGGTTATGAGTTATGTGTGTCTCTGTGTGTGTATCTCTGTGTGTGTTGGCTATGAGTGTGTGTGTGTGTGTGTGTTTGGGGCAAAGGACAGATGGTGAGCCAATCAGTACTGAGTAGTTCACCAAAGCATATTTCTTCTGACTTCTTCCTTTTTCCTGTCCTCCTGACCACCTTTCCCTTCAGACCTAATCACTGGGCACCACTGTACCACTTGTGGGGGTACAGGACTCACTCTGCTGCTTTCACTCCACCCTAGGACCCACCAACTCTATTCTCATCCTTTCTCCTCCATCTGCCTTTCCCACTTCATGCCATTTTCTGTTGGGGGATGAACTACAGCAGGAAGGGCCACATTCATAGAAATGGTGATTTTTAGAGCCCAAAGTCCAGAAGATTCCTGTGTTTCTGCTTTGGTCCTTGTCAGACCCCTTCACTCAGTCATGTAGCACAATGGTCTTGCTGCTAGAATTGAGGGAATGAAAACAATCATGAACAAGAGGACGGCAAAACAAGATATGACAAAATATTGACTAGTCCCTTTTTTTGAGTTGACACACAATGTTACATTAGTTTCAGGTGTACAACACAGTGATTCAACAACTCTATACATTATGCTATGCTCACCGCCAGTGTGCCTACCATCTGTCACCATACAACACTATGGCGGTACCATTGGCTATATTCCCTACGCTGTACATTTCGTCCTCATGACTTATTCCGTAACCACAAGTCTGTATCTCTCACTCCCCTTCACTATTTTATCTGTCTCCCCACCCACCTCCCCGGTGGAAACCATCAGTGTGTCCTCCGTATTTATAGGTCTGATTCTGCCTTTGCAAGTTTTTATTCACTTAAAATATCGACTGATATTCTATAACATGTAGAACACTGGTTACACTTTTCAGAAACTTGCTTGGAGTCACAGCACCTGTACTTTCAAGTATTAGTTCTTTCCTCTAGAGAATGTTTTAAACAAAAGAAAAACAAAAGTGAGGTTAAGGGAATGAGGTATTCACCATGGCACCTTGCTAAGATTCTGGATATCTATCATCTGGTCATGGGGAGGAAAAAAATAGAAAAAATAAGAGAAAGTATCTATAAGGGCAAAAAGGGATGAATGTTGGAGCATCAAGAGGAATTTAAAAGAACATGGAGAAAAAGTGAGCTAAATGCTGATGACACCTTCTCTCCTGGGCACCAAGCTACTTTCAGAATAAGTTTGTAGCCTCAGCAACATATCCTACTTAATGGAAAGACACTTAAAAAGACTGTGGCAAGTTGGCCCAGTGGGATACATAGAACCACATGAAAGTTAATGAGCTATGTGGACCCTTTTAACCCTGTCCCCTCCCTAGCTGCCCAGATTTTAACAACTCCTTCGCAAGTGAGGGGAGAGAGGTCAATGTCAAGACTAATTTCACAATGGCCACTGAGAATACAAAGGATATTACAACCTAATATCTTAAAATTTGGAAAATACACCTACAGTTTTATCCACATGATTCATATTCTAGGTCAGAAAAGTTTATTTTTGCTTTTAAAATTTCAATTCCCAGATCTTATTTAGATATTCTCTGCTTCATAAATTCCTGACTCTGAATTGAGTCTAACTGCCCTATTGCCACTATGCTGATGAGAATTTCTACTCATGCCTGAATCTCCTTGAACCCTTGAGGTTCAGATGGAGAGTGTGGAGGTACAGAAATTTAAAAAAGCAAGACAGTCATAGTTAACATGGTAACACCATTAGGAAAATTATGACTCCAAGGAAGGTTCCAAAGTCTGCTCCTATGTGGTTGTGCAATTTGTATGCTGCACAAAAGTCCTCAGCCAAGGGGGAGATTGGGAGCTAGAGTCCAGGGTGCTCAGTATGTCTACTCTCTCTTCACTTTTCTGCACATGACAGAAAGAACCCTTTTTTTCTAATTTTCAGTGAGGAACCACGTATGTTGGCAAACTCATTGAGTCCTTGGCTGATTCAATCACGTGGGAGGTATTAAGAATCCATGTTACTGCACAAGCCCTGCCATTTATACCCCAGCCACTCTCCCTCTGTGCCTTTGCCAACACTGTTCCCTCTGACCACAAGACTGCAGTCCTTCCACTCCTCCACCTGAGACTAACCCTGCTCAACTTTTAAAATTCAACTCTAGGGGCACCTGGGTGGCTCAGTCGATTAAGCGGCTGACTCTTTTTTTCTTTTTTCTTTTTTCTTTTTTCCTGAAAGAGAAAGAGGGTGAGTAGGGGAGGGGCAGAGAGAGGGAGACACAGAATCTGAAGCAGGTTCCAGGCTCTGAGCTGTCAGCAGAGAGTCTGACGTGGGGCTCAAACTCACGAACCATGAGATTGTGCCCCAAGCCAAAGTCTGATGCTTAACCGACTGAGCCACCCAGGTGCCCCTTAAGCGACTGACTTGATTTCAGCTCAGGTTCCTGAGAATGAGCCCTGTATTGTGCAGAGCCTGCTTGGGATTCTCTCTCTCTCTCTCTCTCTCTCTCTCTCTCTCTCTCTCTCTCTCCCCTTTCCTTGCTCTCTCTCTCTCTCTTAAATAAACATTAAAAAAAATAATTCAACTCTATCACCCCAAAAGTGTCCTTGATGAATCCTAATCTGAGTTGGTTGCCCTTTTCTGTGTTTTCACAAGAACATTGGCTTCTCTTTAGTAGCTCTCTGCCACATTTTTAAGCTCATCTTTCTTCTCTACAGACTGCAGTGTAAAGGCTGTGCCGTGTTTATGTTCATGATGAAGTGCTCAGTAGGTGTTTGAGGGGGGGTAGGAGGGGAAAAGAGCAAGAGCCTTTCTATTTTGCTCAGAGAAATTGAAGCACTGTTTTCAGTATATAGATAATGGGAACAGAGGCCACATATTTTAGGGAAAAGTTACTGTAAAAATGATGGAGCAGAGCAAGAGAACTCTTGCCAGTGTTGCTCTGGCTTCTCATTGTCATTTCACTCTTGCTGTCCTCTCTCTCCCTCTCCCATCTCTTGCTCTAATACTGTTCCTAAGTCATCAGTGGAGAGAACCATTTTACATAATTGCCTGTGGTATCTAGAATCTCATTACGTTAGAGAGTCTTTTTGTAAAATATTGCAATTGGATATGAAAAAAGTTAGCAGATGTGGAAAGGAACAGTGACTTTGTATTGTCAGGATATCTAACTGTAGCAAGGAATCCAATAAACTGTGCTAAAAAAATATCCTCATTTTGCCTTGTGTATGAAAATGAGACAATCTGAGATTTCAAATTACAGTTCATTTGTGTAGAGTGAAAATCCGAGAGACTGGCAAGGTCTAAAGGGCTGTCATTCACACTAATTTTAATTAAGTGAATCCAACTTGATCAGACTATAAAACATTATTATTATTAACAAAAGTTATATAATTAGCAGTATAATATTCGCTGACCCTAGAATTACTTTTTAATCTCTACTGAAACATTTTTATGTCTCTAGAGCTACTACTATTCTATGTATGGAAACACACACATACATACACTGGTAATAGAACCTGGCATATGAATTATGTGTCATGTATATTCAATAAGCTTTCTTTAATGTCCTACAAAAAAAATAATAAAGGCTGCTTCTTCAGTTATTCTACTTAATTGCAATTATTTTCTCATGAACTAAAGGTTCTCTTCATTGTGGGAAAATTTTGGACTTATTAATTGGTATCTATGTTAAGAAAAATTCCTAGATCTTGTTATATAATGCCATCTCTCCTGAGGGCAGTAAGTCATTTTGAGGAAAGTGAGCTGAAAATAATGGGTTTTCGTTGGCTGTGATAATGATCATTGTATATTGTTATTCTAGTGGAGCAAAGCCACTCTTTTAATGGTAAACAAAACGAGATGTGAGTATATGTGGATGTGATCATAAACTCTGAATATCAAGTAAGGCAAGGAGAATTGGGTTAAAATTCAAAAGTACCTTCTTATTAGCTCTATGGAAAACCACTTCTGAAGGGATTGTGGGGAAATTTTATGTACTAAAACGTAGTTCAGATTTTACAATAGATAATTAATAAGCAATTACATTTGTGGGTGACAGAATTCTTCCAAGCAATATTAACACCATGTCTTTCACAATTTATGCAATATTTTGTGGATATAATTAAACCTAGCAATTTCATTTAAAAATTATGATAAGAGGTTAATTCTCTATAAAGCAAGATTATTATGGCACCTACACATGTTCTAGAAAATGTAAAGTGATTAATGACTTTGCCCCATAATTGCGATGTTATTAAAATATCCTCATATGATGTAATGGATTTAAATCATTTCTATTTTGAATGGTAGAGAGCATTTCTCTACACAGTGACTTCTATGTCTGTGAGTAGATGAGCATAAAAGTAGTGGACTATTGAAATTATATTCCCCCACATTGTTTTTGTTCCCCTTCAATTTTGATCCTTGCTGTACAAGACAGATGACAGAGCTAGCCTGACTGTAAGCCTATAGATGCACTGTTTTGTTTCTCCTTTCACAAGTGTGGCTTAATATGAAGCATGAGCAAATGTAACTGAAAGAGAAGGCAGAGCAGAATAGAAATCGATGCCTCCTAAAAGCGTGTATCTGTGCATCTGTGACATTGAGTGGCATTTTGAAACAACATATGGATGAAGGGAATTTTGATAACATAATTTAAAAAATCTCCTCTGCTATGCCTCATAAATAAACAAACTTGTTTTTCCAATATATTGTAGAGTAGCATCTAGTCCTTAAGACAAGAGACCTATAGGTTGCTAATATGAGTTGTGGGCACAATTAAGCATCACCTTACGGCACGTACATAGGATGCCCGCATACCTGCTTCTCGCTAAAGGTTCTTCCATGAAAATCTGCCTCTGTATGCATATGCAAATATATACAAACCCATTAGTAATGCAGTGATACCCACAGCCCCCACCTGAATAATAATGAGAATCTTTTGAGTCACAATTTTCTATTTAATAAATTCTGAATTCTCACTGCTGAATTTCCTTGTAAGCCTGTTTCCTCATAACAAGCTTTTGCTACAACAACAAAAAGTGTGAACCTTACATATTTGTACAGAAAACAACCAATTGGAGTAGATACATATGATGTGTTGCACTACAAAGGCTTTCCAACACAGACCTGGATTCCTCTAGAGTGCCAGCAGCAGATTTCTTATTATGCTTTGGTCTCGTCTTCAGTGCCAGTGACAAGATTTTTTTTTTTTCTGGCTGAAATCTAATTACTAGTGGGGCTGGCAGGATTTCATCTTGTATCTACACTGCAGTTATAGAAAAACATTTTTTAATCACCTTGCATTTGAGAAAAGGAACACTTAAAAAGAAAACATATCATCCTGGGAGAGGGTAGTATGAAAAGTATATAAACATTGCTTCCGATGGGCTTTATGAGTTCCTCCCAAATACTCACTGATGAAATTTTACCCCTTAGGTGTGCAGAAGGCTATTTTGGACAACCTTCTGTACCTGGAGGATCATGTCAGCCATGCCAATGCAATGACAACCTTGACTTCTCCATCCCTGGCAGCTGTGACAGCTTGTCTGGCTCCTGTCTGATATGTAAGCCAGGTACAACAGGCCGGTACTGTGAGCTCTGTGCTGATGGATATTTTGGAGACGCAGTTGATGCAAAGAACTGTCAGCGTAAGTCCTGAACTATTGACGCCTCTGACAGAATTGATGCATTGCACCTCAAAGCAGCTGATGAGTTCTTGAGTGGGGATTGGAGGGTAGGAAATTATGTGCAATACATGTGTGATAGATGCACAGCCTATACACAGAGTCTGCATATTCTAAAATATTTCTTTGTACTAATAGAGTAAATCCTTTGAAAATAGCTGCATTGTCAGCGTGTTGTTTTTCAAAGGATGCACATATCTTTATTTACATGTGGAAGGAAGATTTTAAAATCAACTTGTGTCCATGGTAGGAGAGAAGAATTTAGAAAAACTAGGTAAGTCCCACTTATCCTTATTATTTGTTTCAATTGCAGTCATTTTCTTCAAATGAATTTTTGTCCATATTATTTCTGTAGTACCTGTCTGGAGGTGTTAATCTGTTATGCTTTCGTATGTGAACTCTACATTCTTGCATTTCATAATAGGTGCCCATATTTCCACACACTGGCATTTATAATTCTTGAATGATTGACCTTCACCGTGGGACTATTCACAGAATGATATTTCTGTGTTTCCTTTCACAAAATTAGCTCTTGTAGGGCTTCGTCTGTGTTCATTAGTGCACATCTCCTGTTTCTTCCACTTCCCTGGCCTCATTATTCAGTATTGCATAAAATCAAATAATGCTTTGTCTTCGCAGTAGTGCAATATGCAAGGGAAATCTTGTGGTGCAGAGTCCAGTGGAATGTGAATCCGTGTCAGCACCCAAGTATTTTATGTGCCATCCTTGACTTCACCTGCCGCCATCATCTTTAGGTAGAGCCAGTTATGATGCCAACACTTCACTCTGTCAAGTTCATTACATAAGAAGGGGCCCTTCCAGTCACTCAGTTGGGACCTACGACCTGCAAAATTATAGAGACCGCTAGAAATGTAGTCTTTTCACTGTCTCTGCTGTAAACACCAAAGACCTGGTGGGACACCCCACTTCAATAACCAACCTCATAGGGCTGGAAGATGCGTGCCAGATTTTTGTCATTTGCAAATCACAGTTGGTTAAACAAAAAGCAAATCACTCTCTAGGACAATAAGCATCTGTTGATATCGCCTGTAAATTGGTATTTTTAAAAGTTTTTTTTTTAAGTTTATTTATTTGTTTTAGAGAGAAAACACAAGCAGGGGAGGGGCAGAGAGAGAGGGAGACACAGAATCCGAAGCAGGCTCCAGGCTCTAGGCTCTGAGCTGTCAGCACAGAGCCCAACACGGGGCTCGAACTCATGAACCATGATATCAAGACCTGAGCTAAAGTCAGACACTCAACTGACTGAGCCATCCAGGTGCCCCAGTATTTTTTTTAAAGGCAAGATTTCCAACAGGCACAGAAGCACACTTTACCTGTATAAAATCATAAGGGGCTTAAGAAGTTCTCCCATTCAAAGACATCATCTAAGATCAACACTTTCTGGCCATGTGACCCGGACGAGACAGTTGACCTCACTGGGATTCAGTTTCCGCATTTACATAAAGGGTCATGATTTTCTGTGAGGTTTCAAGGATCCAGCCCAGAGAGAGTGTCCAGTGCACCGCTTGGGCCTGGGATGCTCACAGAGAGGAGTGCCTTTGGTAGCAGTGTTCATAGTAGTTGTATCTGTGGGTCACTCATTTTAGAGCTGTGTTCATTGTTTAGTGACCTCCTTTTTCCGTCTTCCATTAAGCCCCTCCATAAAGTTGAGGAGACATTGTTCCACTCATTTTATTGTGATAAATTGGGGATCTGTGGCATAAGAACACATAGGAGAATATGGTATAGAAACATTTTGAACCATTACGTTTTTATACCACTTGCTATGAAGCACATATAGAAAAGATTAGAGTTTTTAATGATCTTTAACATATAAAAATATAAGAAATATACTTATTTTGATAATTTTCTTACGTATATTAGTTTATCTGTGCATAGGTAGTAAACCTCAAGAAAAGAAAATTCATGATAAACCATTATTTTAGTTGCCTCTAGGTTTGCTCATGAAAAGCACACCACTACAAAGAAATGTATTTTGCTTTTGAAATTTATGTTATTGTTTGTGTCCTACATTTCATTTTAAAATGCCACTTAAAACTTTATATTGCCTTTGTGAGTTCTTTTTTCAAGTTTTTATTTTAATTTTTTTTTTTTCAACGTTTATTTATTTTTGGGACAGAGAGAGACAGAGCATGAACAGGGGAGGGGCAGAGAGAGAGGGAGACACAGAATCGGAAACAGGCTCCAGGCTCTGAGCCATCCGCCCAGAGCCCGACGCGGGGCTCGAACTCACGGACCGCGAGATCGTGACCTGGCTGAAGTCGGACGCTTAACCGACTGCGCCACCCAGGCGCCCCTCAAGTTTTTATTTTAATTCGTTAGTGAATATATAGTGTAATATTAGTTTTGGGAGTAGAATTCATTACCTACATAAAACGCCCGGTGCTCATCACAAGTGTCCTCCTTGACACCCGTCTCCCATTTAACCCATCCCTCTGTTCACCTCCCTCCATCAACCCTCAGTTTGATCTCTATAGTTAAGAGTCTATTTTTATGGTTTTCCCCTCTCCTTTCCCTGCTACGTTCATCTGTTTTGTTTCTTAACTTCCACTTATGAGTGAAATCATATATGTGTCTTCCTCTTACTGACTTGCTTTGCTTAGCATAATACATGTCATTGCAAACAACAAGATTTCGTTCTTTTTATGTCTGAGTAATATTCCACTGTATATACATACCACATCTTCTTTATCCATTCATCAGTTGATAGACATTTTGTCTCTTTCCATACTTTAGCTATTGTTGATGATGCCACTATGGACATTGGGGTGCATGTGTCCCTTTGAATCATTATTTTTGTATATTCTGGATAAATACCTAGTAGTGCAATTGCTAGATAATAGGGAAGTTCTATTTTTAACTTTTTTTTTTTGAGAGAGAGAGAGAGGTGAAGGGGAGGGGCAGAGGAAGAGGGGGAGAGAGAATCCTAAGCAGACCCCACGCTCAGCACAGAGCCCAATATGGGGCTCCATCTCACCACCATAATACCATGACCTGAGCCAAAATCAAGAGTTGATGCTCAACTGACTGAACCACCAGGCACCCCTATTTTTAACTTTTTGAGAAACCTTCATACCGTTTTCCAAAGTGGCTACATCAGTTTGCATTCCCACCAACATTGGTTTAAGAGAGTTCCTTCTTCACACCTTCACCAACTTTTTTCCTATGTTGTTAATTTTAGCCATTCTGATAGGTGTGAGGTGGTATCTTATCGTGGTTTTGACTTGTATTTCCCTGAGGATGAGTGATGTTGAACATCTTTTCGTGTGTCTGTTACCCATCTGTATGTCTTCTTTGGAAAACTGTCTATTCATTTTCCCCATCTCTTCACTGGCTTATTTGTTTTTTGGGTGTTGAGTTTGTAAGTTCTTTATAGATTTTAGATAGTAACCTTTTCTCAGATATGTCATTTGCAAATATCTTCTCCAATTTCAAATATTTCCTTTTAGTTTTGTTGAATGTTTCCTTCACGCTGCAGAAGGTTTTTTTTTTCTTGATGAAATCCTAATAGTTTGAGTTTTCTTTAGTTTCCCTTGCTTCTAGAGATGTGTCTAAGAAGGAGTTGCTGATGCCAAAGAGGTTGCTACCTATATTCTTCTCTAGGATTTTGATGGTTTTAGGTCTCACATTTATATCTTTCATCCATTTTAAATTTATTTCTGTGTGTGGTGTAAGAAAATGGTCCAATTCCATTCTTCTGCATGTTGCTGTCCAGTTTTCCCAACACCCTTTGTTGAAGAGACTTTGTTCCTTGGATATTCTTTTCTGCTTTGTCAGAGATTAGTTAACCATATAGTTGTGGGTCCATTTGTGAATTTTCTATTCTGTTCCATTGACCTATGTGTCTGTTTTGTGCCAGTTCCATACTGTCTTGATGACTACAACTTTGTAATATAGCTTGAAGTCTGGAATCATGATGCCTCCAGATTTGCTCTTCTTTTTCAAGATTGCTTTGGTTATTCATAGTCTTTTGTGGTTCCATACAAATTTTAGAATTGTTTGCTCTAGCTCTCTGCAAAATGCTGTTGGTATTTTGATAGGGATTGCATTAAATGTGTAGATTGCTTTGGGTAGTAGAGACATCTTAACAATATATGCTCTTCCGTCCATGAGCATGGAACATTTTTCCATTTCTTTGTGTTTTCTTCAATTTCTTTCATAAGTGTCCTGTAGTTTTCTGAATACAGATCTTTTGCCTCTTTGGTTAGGTTTATTCCTAGGTATCCTATGGTTTTTGGTGCAATTGTAAATAGGATCGATTCCTTGATTTCTCTTCCTGAGGCTTCATTATTGGTGTACAGAAGATTTTTGTATGTTGATTTTGTATCCTGTCACTGCTTTTGTTATTTTTAAGATTACGTTAAGTTATGGTAAATTTAATCCTATATTCCTCATCCTGAGAAAAAAGGACTTATAAATTCTAAATTATTTGGGATTTAAAAAATTGAAGTATAATATATATGAGACTCACATAAAGAAAGTGAAAGTATATTGTAATAGGGATGTGAGGACAGATGGTAGCTGCACTTGTGATGAACATAATATAATGTATAATTGAATCACTACATTGTTCACCTGAAACTAATGTAACATTATATGTCAACTATACTCAATTAAAAAAACATTAATAAAAATTAATTAATTTTAAAAAGAAATTGAAAACATATACAACAATTCTAGTGGCAAGTGAAGTAGACATTTACAAAAAGTATTTCTCTTAGTCTTTTCTCACACCCCTGCTATGGAGTATGCTTAGGCTATTGTCTGAGGAACTGGAGACTGCAGCTAAGGTCAATTCTTCAATGGCCACCAAACATGTATCTACTTAGCAGACACAAAAGGTCAAATCCCTGGAAGAAAAATCAGCCAGTTTTTGGGAAAGCAGTAGAACTAAGTAGAACCTTGAGCTAGGGGAACAGGAAAATAGCATAGGCTGATGGAGGAGCTATTTACAATGTAGTTATAAGTTGTGCTCAAACAAAGTATCCAAAGACAGGAGGTATTGGATAAAATTTACCAAAACCATTTATGAATGTTCTAAATTTTTCTGTCATCTCCTCCTCACATATTTATTCTGGTGTCAATGCAATTATATGTACCATTAAAGTACACCTGTAGGGTGCATCATTAATTACGTTCTATTTGTGAAAAGTCCCTTTAATTGTTAGACTGATTTATTATGTTTCAGGATAGCATCTAACAGCTTCATCACATAGAAATGATAAAAGATTACTTAAACCAAATATATTGGAAACAGTATACAAATTGTAAAACAAAGTGATTTTTAAAAATTATAATGCTATATTCCTAATACGCTTGAAACAGCATCTTCATTTTATATACTTTTTAATTGAAAATATTTGACATATGACATTGTGTAAATATAAGGTGCACAGCATCTTACTTTGATATACTTATATATTGCAATACGATGATCGTTGTAGAGATATTTATTCCCTTGCACAATATAGTACAATATTGTCTACATTTTTATACTGTGTAATAGACCACTGTAGCTCATTTACCATTCACCATTTACTACTTGCAAGTGTGTACCCTAAACAAAAACAATTTTACCCCCCAACCCTCCATCCCCTAGTAACTACCATTTTACTGTCTGTTTTATTATGAGTTTAATTTTTTTAGATTCTGCATCTAGATGATATCATGCAGTAGTTAGCTTTCTTTATATGACATCTTCCATTTAGCGTAATGTGGACAAGGTTCATCCATATTGTTGCAAATGGTAGGATATTCTCCTTTCTCATGGCTGAATAATATTCCATTGTGTATATATACCATATCTTTTTTATCCATTCATCTTTGACAGACATTGAGATTTTTCTGTATCTTGGCTACTGAGAAAAATGCTGCAGTGAACATAAGAGTGTACATATCTCTTCAAAATACTGTTTTCATTTCCTTTAAGTATATACTCAGTAGTAGAATTGCTGGGTTATATGCTAGTTCTATTTGCAAATTGTTTGAGGGACCTCCACCTTGTTTTCCAAAGTGGTTGGATCAATTTACATTCCCACTAACAGTGTATAAGAGTAATTCTTCAAGACATTCTTCAGCATATGTTGTTTTTTGTCTTCTTGATAGTAGCCATTCTAACAGGTATAAGGTAATATCTCATTGTGGTTTTGATTTGCATTTCTTTGAGGATTAGTGATGTTTAACATCTTTTCACATGCCTGTTGGCCGTTTTGATATCCTTGTTGGAAAAAATGTCTACTTAACTCTTCTGTCTTACATACTTTTCTAATCTTAAAGGTGTGTGTCTAGGTACAATATATAATATTCACTCTCAAAATCAAAATAACAATGACTACATTAATGTTTTAATAGCATCTGATGTGCCAGGCACTGTGATATAGCTTTACGTGAATCATCTCCACAGCTTGTAAAGTTGTAAGGATCAAAGGATATAATGCCTAATGGAACACCTAGCAAATCAGAAAACATTCCTTTTTTTTTAAGTTTACTTATTTATTTTGAGAGAGACTGAGACAGCATGAATTGGGGAAGGACGGAGAGAGAGATGGATACAGAGAAACCCAAGCAGGATCTGTATCAGTGGCGCAGAGCCTGACGTGGAGCTTGAACTCATGAAACCACAAGATCATGACCTGAGCCAAAACCAAGAGTCGGACACTTAACCAACTGAGCCACCCAGCCACCGTGAAAACATTGTGTTCTAAAACTTAGTTGCCAATGTTACCATCTGGGGGATATTATTATTTAACAAGCCTATTAAGACTGTTGGAAATGTTTTCCCAACCAAAGATGTCTTTTCTCTTTGCAGCTTGTCGCTGTAATGTCAACAGCTCCTTGTCTGAGAGTTGCCATGCTAGGACAGGACAGTGTGAATGCAAACCTAATGTGCAAGGACTGCGGTGTGATGAGTGTAAGGTAAGGAGTAGGAGCTGGCCATGAGTTACTTCCTCCTTGAAAATGTTCATTAGCTTTCAACGACATACATATGAGTATATTGAAAGAGGAGTTCAGGATTATACAATGCTACATGTACAATCACTGTGATCATTGGAGAGTTTTTCCAAGATAGAACAAAATTTGCTGTGCACTAGCATTTGGCCTTCAACCTATATTTCCTTGGCAGCAAATTTGTGTAATATTTACTGTAATTCAGATGTTTCTGAAACAAAGAAGCTATAAATTTAATCTCAATCTGCAGTGAGTAAAATACCCTTTGCTTTTATATTGTTGGCAGAATGAAATGTGTCACACCCTTTGTTTTTAGCAAACACTTTGTTCTAGTTCTATCGTTGACAAGTTAGTTACAGGGAGCATTCTACTTCAGAAAAGTTTTCAGTAGAGAAGCTAATCAACATAGTTTTATATACACCATTTTTGTAAAATGAAACAAAATTCACAACATGTTGCTCTCCGTTCCTGAACGTTTTGCCCTGCCTTCAGTATGGCAAACCCCTTGAGATTCCTCCACGAGAGTGATGGATTTGCACTACCTACTTCTTATAAAAATGTATTTTCGGTTATAAAGACTTAAACCAAACGAGCATTTCTCAGATGGCAAACTGGCCTTTCTGTACTAAGTTTGGAAATACCTTCTGCCTCTATCTCTTGAATAATACCAAATGCTCTTTTGTTTCTTTGTTTTCTTTGTTTTCTTTTTCTGTTGGCTTTTAAAGCCCGATATGTGGTGGGATCCAGAGAAGCACTTCTGTGTGTTATGTGACTGCAGTCTCGTTGGTTCTGTGACACCACAGTGTGATATTACAGGAAGATGTGCATGTAAATCTGGCTTCGTAGGGAGACACTGCAACCTCAGCAGGCAGGTGCACCGACAGGAGGAGCAGTCACAGAGAGCGCACCGGGTGCTGGGGCCTCCTCAGAGGTGGGGTTTCAGCAGCTCCAGCGGGTGCCCTCGGGGAGCCTATCGGCCCCCAGCTCCGGTAATCCCAGAGGCGCTGCATGGCTCATGCCTCCGCATGCTGTGTTCCGTGTGCTGCCGCTGACCTTTCCCAATGGCATTTTTACCAAATAACGGTTGCTCGGTGTGCACAATTGCAAATGTAAACACTAGACCATTCCTGCTTAAAGCTTTGCCTTTTGAAAGTAGCTGTCCGTGTATTTTTTTGTATTTTTTTTAAATATTTTTTTAACGTTTATTCACTTTCTGAGAGCCAGAGACAGAGTACAAGCAGGGGAGGGGCAGAGAGACAGGGAGACACAGAATCCGAGATGCGCTCCAGGTTCTGAGCTGTCAGCATGGAACCCGACGCAGGGTTCGAACTCACGAACCCCTGAGATCATGACCTGAGCTGAAGTTGGGCGCTTAACCAACTGAGCCCCCCAGGTGTCCCCTGTCTGTGTATTTTTAAAAGTATGTTCAAGTTCATAGGTTCATAAAAGTTTCAGTTTCCCATGGATATGTAGAAGTTTATTTGTAGAAAGCTGTGATCTTACAGGTGGAAGGAATTTCAGACCTCCGAACAGACTCACTTCTGTGAATGAACAAATCTAGCAAAGAAAGTGGCTTTCCCAAGAAAATCCAGCCCATTGATCTGACGTGTTGTTCACATTTCATCATAATGGATGGCTTTGTTACTTTGCCACATCATAAGCTTGCCCGTATATACCACAAGTCACACACTCTCACACTGCATGTATACCACATACACTAAGTAAGGAAGCATGTTTTCTACTACAGAAGTTTAGTCCCCCATCTTAGTAGACAAAAGAAAAATACTGGCAGTAAGAGCAAAAGGGAGGAAGGGAAGAGAGAGGAGGAAGAAAGAGAGAAGATTAGGTCCAGGGCCATGTTGCAGAGTGACAGGAAATAAGACTTACCAGTGTGGAATCACAGCTTGGTGGGGAGGAGCAGGGAAGGGATAGAAGAAAGTGAGAGTAAAGTAAAAAGTAACAGAGTAGAAAAGAAAAAAAGAAAGAATGCATTATTCTAGGCTCTTTATTGGCATTTTAAAAAAAAAATTTAATGTTTATTTTATTTTTGAGACAGAGAGAGACAGAGCATGGTTGGCGGAAGGGCAGAGAGAGGGAGACACAGAATCTGAAGCAGGTTCCAGGCTCTGAGCTGTCAGCACAGAGCCCGACGTGGGGCTTGAGCCCATCAACCACGAGATCATGACCTGAGCTGAAGTTGGACGCTCAACCAACTGAGCCACTCAGGCATCCCTCTTTATTGGCATTTTAAGAAAATTAGTTCCGGGGTGCCTGGGTGGCTCAGTGGATTAAGCATCCAGCTGGCTCAAGTCATAATCATCTTGTGGTTCATGAGTTTGAGCCCCGCATCGGGCTCTATGCTGATGGCTCAGAGGCTGGAGTCTCTGTCTCTTTCTCAAAAATAAATAAACATTAAAAAAATTTATAGTGAAAAAAAAAAAAAGAAAATTAGTTCTGGTATTGGTCTGCCTCGGGTCAAATCCCAGCCTCACCACTTCCTAGCTATGACAGTTCCTTAAGTCTTTCTGTAATGTACCTTCTTCATCTGTCAGAGGACCCGCTTCATAGGGTATCTAACAGCCTGGATCCTCCAAGAAGCAAATATGAAGAGATTGACTGGGGGAAATGCCTATGAAAGTTGAAGGAGAAGAGAGCATAGTATACAGGGAGCCTCCTGCCGTAGTGCAGGCCTGACTGATGTGAAAGGGGAAAGGGAAGGAAAGATCGAGCAGAAAAGCCTCATTCTGTGCATTTTGCCAAAATGCCAAATGCTTGTCAGGCCAAACGGAAGTGCCCGAGCACCAGTTTTCCGTTTGAGGAATCCTGGATTGGGCAGAAAGACTGTTGGACTTTATTGTAATCAGTCTTTGACCTGGAGAAGCATGACCTGGTGTGGGTTCCTCCGGTGGATCCACAAGAGTGGAAACCGGAGGATGTCAATCAGCCAACTCGCCGCAGATTCTCTCGCAGGGAGACCTGCCCGGGCACCTCCGTGGCGGGCTCTGGATTGTCATGGGAACAGTACATAAGGCACGCATCTGGAGAGTTCTTAGTGAATGCTAGGTATCATTACTGTTGTTGCCATTGTTGTTATTAGATGAAGAAATCTTTAAAATTTGTTTTTCAAAAACAGATACATATATTTAAAGTAAAAGAAAGGGATAGAGACTGATCAAAATGTCTCCAAAATATAAATTTAGCAGAAATTCTGCTCTCATTCATGGCCTTTTCCTACATACCCTACAGCACTGTTGTACAAGGTAGTGTTTTGTCCTGAGACCATTTTTCCCCTGAGACAGTATGTGTGAAAGTAGAGAGCTCAGACTCTGGAGCCAGGCTGCCTGACTTGGAACCCTGACTCTACAGTTGGGTAGCTGGTGACCTTAGGCAAATTGCTTGACCTTTCTGTCCTTTGGTTTCCCACTCAGTATAAAGGTGATGGTAATAGCTATCTCCCAGGATTGTCTTGAAGATTCAGTGAATTCATATTTGTAAAGAGCTTTAAAACAGTGCTTAGCACACAGCAGCACAATACCTAAGTGCTGTTGTTATTATCATCCCAAGTGAAAATAATTTACAGATTATCAAGCTTTCCAGCGACACTGGATAAGGACTGTCTCCCATGTTTGTTTTACCTCATTAATCTTGATTACAGACTGGGAACATCTCCTTCTTGAATTTGCTTACCACAGAGATTTTCCCTAGCCTCTGAAATAAAATTTTGTACATCAAATTTAGTAAAATTTTGTTAGTGAAGTTTGTTACTATTTGTTTTGGTATTACTCAATTCTTTAAAACTACATTATTTAAATATTTGAAATGTATGACAGAGAGATTTTTTTGTACATATTTTTTTACATAATGAACTTTGGAATTTTCTTACTAACTATGACTTGGAAGTTCATGTAATACTATATCGATATATCCATTAAAGATATACATATGCCAAGTGAAGAAAAATTTAGGAAATAAAGATGAATTTGAAGTACTGTCTCTGATTCATATTTCTAAGTCAAGAAAATTTAGGAAATAAATGCAAAATACTTTGCATAAGAAATTCAAATACATCTATGATTCAGACTTTTAAAAACTAATATAGTTGTTCTAGTCTTTTTTCTATGTATACATGTTTCTATTTGTGTCTGAGGGGCAGTATGTGTGTCATTATAGGTATATAATTGGGATTATAGTGTATATATGATTTTGTATTCTGCTTTTTGAAATTTTGCATAATGCTATCTCTTAAGTATATTCCTATCATTAAAACTGCTTCAAAACAGGATTTTAATGATTGCATATTATTTCATAGCATGAATGTATCCTAATTTGATTTATTCAACTTTTTTTTTCTAACATTAAACATTTAAGTACCTCTGCAGTTACTCTCATAAATAATACTGTAATGGGCATGCTCATACTTTAACCGTTTTCCGAATTTCTGTTTATTTCTCTAGGTCAGGTATCTAGAATTTTATAGCTAATTTTTTATGAATAAAAATATCGTATGTTTTAATCTTCCCTTCCTCCTTCTTTGTTTTATTTATTGTATTTTTTATTTTATATTGATTGCAGTGTTGTTAACATACAGTGTTATATTAGTTTCAGGTGTACAATAAACACAACGCACTTTCTTCTTTAATAATATGGTCAAATCTGAATTTGAACCGGAAATAAAAATAAAGTCAGCAGTAAATACAAAGATTAAATGATTATCGAACTCAATCGACCCCTTTTATATTTAAAAACCAACACTGTTCTTAGCTATAGTCATATTAAGAGACTAATTTTCAGTGTGATTTTGTTTTCTAGAACTATTTTTCATACTGTTAACAATGGTGAAAATATGTAACAAGCCTTATTCATTTCTCTTTGTGTGGCTTGTATTAAATAGCAAGATTTATTCCTACCAGAAGGCAACGGTTAAGTCTAATATTCTAAAATAGGAATTATTTTTACAAAGAAGTAATTACTGAGACTAATTTTTCAGATTAATATATCATAATAATGTGACATACTTCATATTTTAAAATACAACCTTGATGTGCTTTAAGTAGGATATGCGCTTTTCATTTTTCTAGTAGAGGTAATTTTTAATTTATCCACACTTTCTAAAATAGGCCCTCTAGGTCATATAACGTGTATTTCAAACCAAAGATAGTAATGAAAACCGATCATAGAAAGTTATTTGTTGTAAACAGATAAAAGATATGCCTAGGAATAACTCATCAGAGAATAAAAGTTTCCTTTCATCTATCTAATCTGGTGCTTTGATGTGTGTTCTCGCAAATCAATTTCAGTTGTTAAAATGAAACCCAAGAAACTATATGTTTGTAAACCAATTATTTTGTCAGCATAGGCATAAACCTGTAAGTTAAATTTATAATGTGAGCCCTAGAATAATGATCAGAAGTATTTATGGAGAGATGACAAAAATTAGATCAAATATTAAAGGAAAAACATCTGTTTTAACTGTAGGCATCTGGTCAATAACATTGAAAACATGTTTAACAAGTAGACGAGTTCATAAGATTTCAAAGTAATCAATTCAGATTATTAGGAAGGAAGCAAGTAAATTTTTAAATTAAAATATTAGTAACACCCATAGCTTAGTTCTACATCACTGTTAAAATCTTGGGAGGCATAGGAAGAGGCTGGTGAATATAAAACAGACAAAAGGATCATGCCCTAGTTCTACCATTAATTCTGATAAAATTTTAAAGTAATTGAACTCTTCTTTTTGGATATCGTAGAAAAGGTCCATTAGATGAAGTTACAACCTCATTGTCATAACATCAGTGATGAACCTTGATAACCCATTGGTTTCTCTTTCCTGCCTCCTCTTTTGGCATTGTGCATCTTGTTTCATAATGAATTAATTGATTTAAATTTAATTTGTCTCTTTCCTTTTCTATGCCAGCCTGAAACCTTCGGCCTACAATCCGGAAGGGGGTGTGTTCCCTGCAATTGCAATTCCTTTGGGTCTAAGTCATTTGACTGTGAAGAGAGTGGTCAATGTTGGTGCCAACCTGGAGTAGCAGGAAAGAAATGTGACCGCTGTGCTCACGGCTATTTCAACTTCCAAGAAGGAGGCTGCACAGGTCTGTAAATAAGACTAAGCCCTACACATTCATTCTCTGGTTTTAGCATTTTTGCAGTGGTAGGAGTTCATTCTTGCAGGTTCCCGGAGATTTAAAGGAAGGGCACCTTGACAACAAATATATGATCCAAAATATTTAACTGAGTAAGTAAAGTATGCTTATTTTAAATAAACTAACAAATGGAATACATTGCAGGGTGAAACACTGCACTGTAAATAACTGCTTGCAAATACTCCATAAAAAATCCATCAGCAGATCTCAATTCTGCTGTGTCCCTTCCTGTCTGTGACTGCCAGTCAGCCCGTCAGTCACTCAAGGGCTCCTGTAGCTTGAAAGTCAAATGTTCAATTTTTCTTTTGCCAGTGTTCTCGAAGCTTAAACTTCACTCCCAAGTTAATACAGTTCAACTTTCTCTTTTCCTAGTGCAAAATTGGTACAAGGATCAGAGAAGTTAATATCTTTTTCTAGTACAAAAAATATCTTTTCATCTACTTTCATGTGCCTTGAAAACTATGATGTTCCTAGAAAATAACAGATTAGCACTAGGTATTTGCTAGTTCTTGGGGAAATACATGAAGGTTTCTAGCCATGATTTCTTTCAAGCAATATTCTCATATTCTTCCCACAAATCATGAAGTAAGAAAATAGGAATTAGCATACTACAAATGAAAATGAAAATTGAACATTACCTTGATTTATATGCTACTAATTTGGAATTGACCCTTATCCCAACATTCACTAGGTTGAGTATCACCTTTGCTTATTAAATTCACTCATTTAACACTGATGATACTCCTTTACTCTCGGTACCATGATAAATATGTGATAAGGTTTTAAGACATTATTATTGACTATTGTTGCAAATGTATGTAAGTAGTGGCAGGAGTAATATTTCCAATTATTTTAAAAATGAGTATCTTATAGATATTCTCAATCAATTTCAATATATACTTTTTATTGCAAAGATAAGCCATTCTGTTATTCTGAATGTTATCAGTGTACATCTTCTAAGAATTTGTATGTGATCCCTGAGTCATCATCTATATACACTAAAACATATAAAGCTGGATTTTAAAATATTCTGTTCTTTAAATCCAATTCTTACTAACAGTTCACTTAATGTGAATTAATAAAATGGTGCTATACACTCAAGTATATTCACTACCAGAAATTATAAATAAGACAACATTATTTAAAATTATGCAATGATGATAACATTAGAAATGCAGACTTAGTAGCATTCAAATCCAGAGAAACAGACAAAAATCAGTCCCAAACAGGCAGGATAGCATTATGGTTGAGGGTATAACTTCACCAAATAGCTTGGATCAGTTTAGTGGCTCCATGGGCAACTAGTTATATGACCTGGTCTTGCTGTCTCTCTGAAAAATTTGTCTATTAACTTAAGAATGGTATCTGTCTCGGGGCGCCTGGGTGGCGCAGTCGGTTAAGCGTCCGACTTCAGCCAGGTCACGATCTCACGGTCTGTGAGTTTGAGCCCCGCGTCGGGCTCTGGGCTGATGGCTCAGAGCCTGGAGCCTGTTTCCGATTCTGTGTCTCCCTCTCTCTCTGCCCCTCCCCCATTCATGCTCTGTCTCTCTCTGTCCCAAAAATAAATAAACAATGAAAAAAAAAATTAAAAAAAAAAAAAAGAATGGTATCTGTCTCACTGGGTTTTTGTAAGAATTAGTTGAGTTAATGGCTCTAAAATATTTAGAATACTGCCTGGCACATAGACACCAGGTAAGTGTTTATCATTGTTATTATCATTAGCAATGTTTATTAGTATTCTGAATTGTGGTAAACATTCCGTTTGGGTAGGGGAAAACTAGCTAATTATTCAGGTCTTCTCCCTACTCAGTTTTATGATCCCATGGAAGAACTGCTTAGAGAATTTCTATCTGCAAGTAACAATTTGAACTGTCCCAAGACATTTTTTAGCACATAAATTTGAACATAATATGAACTGTTTCTCTTCTTAATGAAGGTATGTATAAAACAAATCCTTTGACTTCAAATTATCAACGGCAATAATAACAAAAACAACAGGTAAAATTTATTTGGCATTGATGTCAAATATTATGCTAAACATTCTTCACAGCTGGTATGCTGTAGGCAATGATAATTGCGATCCCTTAAAAACTGAACTTAATCAAATATTCTAAATATATTTCATTTAAAGATTTCATCATCATATTACCAACTGAAAGATTTCTTGTAACATTGGTCTTCTGTTTGAATCTGAATACTTGGTGGTGTTTCTTCCTTGCTTACACTTCAGCTGGAAACACTGCACTGAAATATACTCAGTGCTGAGTCAGTAGCTGAGTCAACTATAGCTAATCAGTAGTGGACATTCCTCATCTTAGATGACTTTGAAGCTCTTCTGAAGTCTCTTTTTTTTTCTTTTTCAAATCTTATGTTTGTATTCTTTGAGAAAGCGCAGTGGATAGAGATATTTTCATTCTTCATGTATCATATCATAGCTAAGAAAATGAAAAATCTATTGAAAAGAACAAAGCAGGTGGTAAATAAACCTCAAAAATACCTTCATACACACACGTATGTGCACACACACACAGGGTCACATAAGTCAGTTATTTTTAATTTTTGCAAAACTGAAATGTCCTGATGTGTGACTATTAAACTACATACATGATATACTGAATTTAAGAAGCCTGTTAATTACTGGCTTTTATTATAAATCATAGTCATCAACAGGAAGGAAATACTAATCTATACAGGATAGAAGATTTAGTTATGCACTTGAAATAACTATAGAAACAAAATTTTAAACTTTATAGTATCTAGATATGGTTAGCATAGAATCTGATATACCACTTGTTTCTTTAAACTTAGTTGAAAACTAAAAATATTTTACCTTTTGAAATCATTAAATGAAATACAACATAAATTTATTGATCATCTCTGTGAAAAACACTTTTCTGTGATATAAAAGATGAATGAGGTCAGTTTTCACTTTCAAGGATCTTTAACCATAATATGGAAAATAAAACAAGAGAAATAAACTCAGCACTTCCTATCAAATTTTTACTGTTTTACTATTTTTTTCCCTTTTACTTGTGAAGCTTGTGATTGTTCCCATCTGGGTAATAATTGTGACCCAAAGACTGGTCAGTGCATTTGCCCTCCCAATACCATTGGAGAAAAATGTTCTAAATGTGCACCTAACACCTGGGGCCACAGCATCACCACTGGTTGTAAGGTGAGTTAATTGCTTAATTTTCTCTGGTAATGAATGTTTCAAAACTTTTTTTTTATTTTGTGAAAGCTTTATAGTTGGGAATTTCAAATGCCAATATTACCTTATAAAACAATATAGAACTAACAGTATAGAGTGATTGCAGATACTGATCAGTGTCTTACATTTCATTTTACTTCTGGGAAATATGAAGTAAGTACTCATTTATGTATCTTTATTCATTACACCTACAAAAAAAAAAGGAAAACGTACAACCAGAAACAGCCAATAACTTCATACCTAGACACAATGAAATATTATCTGCAAAATACAAAAAATTAGGAACTAATTAAAGGAATTTGCCAAAAATCTATAGGAATTGCCCCTAAATTAGGACTAGGTTTCAGTTTTCAAGAAGCATTTGAAAGGATTCTGGGGAGTCATACTGACAACCTTTAGCTTGAAAAAAATCCTCATTTTTCCCACGAGTGTACCTTAGAACGTGGCATGATTAGATTTACATTTCAAGAAATCTATCCAGCATCAGAGTTAAAGGTAACAGATAGAGCTGTTGCAGAAATATTGATGAGAGAGAACAGAAGCTTGGACGCAGCCAGTGAGCCTCCACGAAGATGCAGGGAGTAGGCTATGTTACAGAATTCTCACTGCTGTATGGCTTGGTGCACTCATAGTTTTGGAGGATAAGAGAGAAGTCTTAAGGATGAGTCCTGGGTTTTGCTCTGTAGGAAATTAAATGAGAGTATTTACTGCTAGAGGGATTATAGGTGACTCAAATTCAAGTAGGAAAGGTGATAAGTCCACAGGGCTTTTTGCGGGTTTTTTTTTTCAGCTTTTTGTGAGGTATTAACTAAATAAAATGCAATTACTCATTTAAAGTGTTGAGTTTTGGGTGCCTGAAAGGCTCAGTCGGTTAAGTGTCTGACTTCAGCTGGTAATGTTCCCATGGCTCATGGGTTCAAACCCCGAGTTGGGCTCTGTGCTGACAGTTCAGAGCCTGGAGCCTGACTCAGATTCTGGGTCTCCCTCTCTCTCTGCCCCACCTCTGCTGGTGTTCTCTCTCTCTCTCTCTCTCTCTCTCTCTCTCTTTCTCTCTCTCTCAAAAATAAACATTAAACAAATTTAAACAAAATAAAATAAAGTGTTGAGTTTTGACCAATGATTACAGTTGTATAACCACCTGATGCCTTCTTGTAGTTGGCTTCCCTTCCCCCACTTAGTCGCACCAGGAAACTATTGTTTCTCCTTCTATCACTATAGTAATGTCAGTTCCACAAATTCATAGAAATCAAGTCATACTACATGTTATTGTTTGAGTTTTGTTTGTTTATTTGTTTGGGGGAATTATTCTTGGCCCAGCTTCCTTTATGCAGTATAATGCTTTTGTGATTCAACTATACTGTTGTATATGAGTAGTTTGTTATTTTTAATTGTTTAATAATTTTACATTGGATGATGCGCAATGACTTTTCTATTTATTTACTATTTAATGGGCATTGGGGTTACTTCTAGTGTGGTGCTATTATGAATAATTTTACTATGAACATTAGTCTATAAGTCAAAAGCATGGGTGTAGACCTATGTTTTCATTTTTCATCACAAGAATACTCCACATCCTTACCAACATTTGGGATTTTGACTCTTTAATTTTAAGCATTCAGTTGGATGTTTATTTATATCCTTGCCTTTCTTTAATGTCCAGTGATATTGGGAATAATCTTATTTATTTATTTCCCATTTATATATCTTCTTGCAAAGTGTCTGTACGAATCTTTTCTATTTGGGGTTGTTAATTTTCTCAGTAATGTGTTGTAAGAGTTCTTTAGGTATTCTAGATACCAGTCCTTTAATGTATTTATGTTCTGTAACCATTTTCTCCCAGTATACAGCTTGTGTTTTACTTCTGCTGTGGTATCTTCACCTAATTTTTATAAAGACTAGTTTATTATCCTTTTGTTTCATGGGTCATGCTTTTTATTTCCTAAGAAATGCACATTGGCTTAAGTCAAGATCTAGAGATACCTCTCCTATGTTTTCCTCAAGAAGTTTTATAGTTTTGAATTTCATATTTAGGTCCACGTTGCATTTTCAATATTAATTTTTCTATATGGTTTGAGGTAAGGGTCAAAGTTAACCTTTTAATGGATATCCAATTTTTCCAACATCTTTTCTGAAAAGATTATTCTTCTTCCTCATTGAATTATTTTAGTTCCTTTGTCAAAATAACCTGGCACTATATGTGCACATACATTTCTGAACTCTATTCTGTTTCATTGGTCTATCTGTCCTTGTGCTGACACTGTACTGTCTTGATCACTGTAGATTTCTAGCAGAGCATGAAATTGGGTGGTATAAACTCTCCAACTGTCGTTCATTTCTAATACCTTTTGCACACGTTAGATCCTTTGCATTTTCATATAAATTTTTAAATCAGCTTCTCAATTTCTTTACCAATAGCCTTCTAGACTTTGCTTGGGATTATATTGAATCTACAGGTCAATTTGGGGAAAATTGACATTTTAAGAATATTAGATCTTCCAGTGTATCAATATGACATAAGTTTTCATTTACTTTTCTTTGTAAGTTTTTTTCTCGGCAGCATTTTATAGTTTTTGGTGGACAAGTCTTGTACATTTTATTACATTTATCATTGTGTTTTATATTTTTTACACAAATGTTATTATTTATTTCACTTCAGTTTCCAACTGTTGCCAGAACAGAAAATGCAATTATTTTTATACAATAACTTTTATTTTTTTAATAGACTATATTTCTATATATATTTTTAGTAGCCTCTATGCCCAACTTGGAGCTTGAACTCACAACCCCACAATCAAGTGTTGCATGCTCTACCGACTAAGCCAGCCACACACCCCATTTGTTAACTTTCTATATTGACACCCTGCTAGAAGTTTATTCTAGCTATTTTTTGGTAACTTCACTAGGATTTTCTATGTAGACAATAATACCATCTGCAAATTGAGTTTTACTTCTTCTCTTCCAACCCATGTAACTTTTATTTCATTTTGTTTGCCTATCGCAGTAAAATGTTGATTTGTAGTGGTGGGAGCAAATATCCCTGCCTTATTCCTTATGTTAAGTAGAAAGGATTCAGTCTTTTACAATTAAGAATAATGTTTACAAATGTTCTTCATCAAACGCTCTTTATCAGTTTAAAGATGTCCCTCATATTTCTAGTTTATTAAGAACTTTTATCAAGAATATATGTCCAATTTTATCAAAAGCATTTTCTGCATCTATGGAGATGATCATATAATTTTTCATTTTCAGCTGCTAATGTGGTGAATCATATTAATTGATTTTCAAATGTTGGTCCAACTTCACAATCCTCAGATAAATCCTGCTTGATCATGAGCGATTATCTACTTTAAATTATTTTAGATTATGTTTGTTAGCATTTTGTTAATGATCTCTGGGTCTGTTCATAAGGACTGTTAGTTCATAGTTTGTCTTTTCTTAGAGTGTTATTGTCTGATTTTGTTATTGGGGTACTGCTACCCTCATGAAATAGATTGGGAAGTATTCCTTTCTCATAGTTTCTTAGGAGTTTGCATAATCAATGAAATAGAAAATAAAAATAGAGAAAGGCCAATGACGCCAGAAACTGGTTTTTTGCAATTATTAATAAAGTTGATGATACTCTAAGAAGACTGATCAAGAAAAAAAAAAGACGAAAAATAATCAAAGTCAAGAATAAAGGAAGGGACATCATGAAGATCCTGCATACACTAAAATAATAATATGAAATAATATGAGCAACTTTAACCAATACATTTGATAACTGTACAAAATAAACATTCCTTTCTTTTGTTTACTTTGAGTTTAGTTTTCTCTTGTTTTCCAAGTTTCTTAAACTGAAAGCTTAGGTCATTGACTTGAGATCTCTCTTCTTTACTAATATAAGCATTTTATTTTAAATTAAAATTTATTCCAGTTACTTTTTGGTAGCTTCAATATATATTCAACAAATATATTAAGTTTCCTTCCAGGCACTAATTTAGTTGCATACCTCACATTTTGATATATTGTTTAAATTTTCACCCTTAAAATATTCTTATTTATTTTACTACTTATTTTTATTCACTGTTTAGAAATATGTTGTATAATCATCATATATTTGGGGGTTTTAAAGATATCTTTCTGCTATTGACATCTAATTTAGTTCTGTATTGGTCTCAGAGCATAATGTGTTTTATTTCAGTCCTTTTGAATTTATAGAGATTGGTATTATGTCTCATAACAGTGTGCATTTTGATTAATGTACATGAAAATATCTTGTATTCTATTATTATTGGGTGAAATCTATACAAGCCAGTTATTCTTAGTGATTTTTATGTGTGCATATTCTATCAATAACTGAGGGTGTTTAACTATAATTATGATTTATCTATTTGTCTTTCAGTTCTCTCAGGTTTTGATTCATGTATTTTGAAGTGATAATATTAGGTATATACTCATTTAGGATGATTATGTCTTTTTGAAAAGTTGATGCCCTTATCAATATGAAGTGTCCCTTTTATCCTGGGTAATATTTCTTGTGAAAAAAGAATACTTTTTCTGATAATCATATAGCCAGAGTTCCATCCTTCTTTTGATTGGTATTTGTGTGGTATACATTTCTCCACACTGTCATTTATTCCATCTCTTTTTAAATATTTTAATGTGTCTCTTTTAGATAGCATATATTTAAATCTTTGTTATTGATATAATCTTAATTGGAACATTTCCATTTAATGTAATTATCCATATGATGGAGTTAAGTCTACATTTTCCTGTTTGCTTTGCCCCACCTGTTCTTGCTTTCTTTTTTCTTCTTGTCTTATTTTGGATTGAGTAATTTTTATAATTACATTTTATCTTCACTTTTGACTTACTAACTATATTTTATGTTTTTTGTCATTGCCTAGAGATAGATATTAATATTTTAATAGCTCAACATCTTAACTTTTCATAATGTATCTTAAAATAATATTGTATACTTTAAA